CGTCGCACTACCAAATGAAATATTTGATACAGCTAACCATACTTTGGAGAACAAGCTGAAAAGCCAAAGTGACAAATTTAACCAGTTGTGACACCTTTTGATATTACCAGCAGCTGTTACGTTTTCCACGTGTCTCAAGTTTCGCACTTTTCCGAGTAACATTTCGATAACTTTGTATCTTTCAAGAGAAATTTAAGAAGTTGCTGATAAATTTCATGTTGTATACCTGTTTGATCTAATCTTTCCACCGGATGAACGGCGCTTGAGTGAAACATCCAGAAGTGGCCGTTGTTACAAGAACGAATGCACGACTGGCATGGAAGCGTCACATGATAACCAACGACATTTCCACTGAAAATAAAAACAAGCCGAATATAAGAAAAAGAATTGAGAAGTCAACAGCAAATACGGAATAACTGAGAACTCAAAAAGAATTTAAGCACGCCATGAATTCACAACGCACCATCCAAGACAGGCGACATCTTTGATTCGACATTCACAGTTTTGGGTCGAGTAATCCGTTCCTATCAACTGAATGGAACTGAAAAAGACGCAGAAAGTATTAAAGATGATAAGGAGATGAAATAGGGAAGCAAACGCTGTCCTAAGTAAGGAGGAAATGCATTTCAAACTCACTTTTCAGGAGGCAAGTCGGTCGAGTACAACTCCACTTTCGCGTCGGCTATCAAAAGTGCTCGCATTCCGCGAGCACAAATTCTTCTTTCGCAGTATTTGCACTCTAGTTTGACGACTGTTTTGGTCTGAAACGCTGGGTGTATTCCTCGCGACATTTTGCTGAGAAAACCACGTCTTTCGCTTTTGTTTCGACGTAAAACTTTCTCAACACAACGTCAACTCAAAATGGCCGTTCTCTGAAAAAACATCTTCCAGTTATTGGCCAATACTGTCTTCTGATTGGTTGTTGCCTGGTGACGTTCACGCCTTACTTGGCCTTTAAATTTTTTAAACGCAACTGAGCAAGACGTGACAAAACTTTTTTAGTACTCCGTGACACAATTTTT